GCTGCCCCGTGGATCGTTCCCCGCGCCGCGCATTTGAGTCAGGTGGCGGCGGTGCCGCGACAGGGGCACTAACACTCAGGAGCCGGGTTTCCTAAGGAACAGAGCGTCGACGAGACGGGGGGCCGCTGGGTGGGGGGGGGGCAGGGAGGGGGGCCGCGCTCGGAACAACGGACACATGCGCGCGAGGATGGGCGCGGCAATGTTGCCCCGTCCGTCCGAGCATGGCCAGGAGACCCCGGCTGATACGACCAGTCCTACGTAAGAGTTGCCGCATCGCTGTCGGGCCCCGTGGGTTCTGAAGCAATGTCTGGGAGGTCCTGAAGCGCTCCCTTGGGACAATAGAGGGCCCCAGTGGCCCCTAAGGGGATCGGAAGGGGCCCCGCGGACACTCTTGAGCTTGAGGGGACCGATCATGCCCACTAGAACCCACAGAGGGCCCCAGTACGAAGCCGCGCGCGTATCCAAACATTGTATGCGCTGTTTCAATGTCCATGTGTACGGTGACAACCTGACTTCCAAACGTATCCATATTGTCACGCAGCGCGTATACCCTGACCCCCACCCCCCACCCCCCACCCCCTAGGCCAACTTCACCCGCGCGTGCACGGCCCGCCCATTTCCTTAGCATCTCTGCCACGACAAGGCACACACGAATACGAACTATGAGCAAAACAAGTACGCACGTCAACATATCCGCCATTAGCGGCCGAACTAAATCATACATTGTGCTACGGCCAGCTAGTAGCAAGCGGCTCACCATCATGGGGTGGGTTTAGGGTCTGTTCGAGACCCGTTGAGGCCATCCTGGGACCTTTTTGGGGTTTCCTCTGGAACACTCTCGCGGCCTTCCTGGAGCCCTCCTTCGGCCATGGTTGGGCTCTCTTCACGCCCTCGCGGGCCGTCGAAGCTCGTTCGCCCGCCAGCGGGCGAGTGATCCAATCGTTTTCTCGACGTTGGCAGCGCGCGCAAGCGATCGCAATCAGGCAAGTGAGCGACTGGCCCCATCGCAACCGGCCCGCATTACAAATAAACAAGCAAGCAGTTCCCCCTCCCCCCCTAAGGGCAAGCGCTTGCACCGACTGAATTGCGCAAAAAACTGAAGAAACCCACTCCCGAATCGTTCGGGGAAGCCAGAACCACTCCAGAACCAAGCGGCCCCCTCCAGAATCACTCGGGGCCCTGGTTGTCCCCCCTAACCGCAACGAGCCCGCGAACGCGGACATCACATCTTGGAGCTTCTGTGGGGCCTCTTAGGGACTCCTGGGGGGTCTTAGGGCTTCCTTGGCCCGTCTGACGACGTTGGAGGCCGTGCTGGGGGTTTTGGGGCCGTCTTGGGGGCTTACTGGGCCGTCTTGGGGCTCCATTGGAGGCGTCTGGGGCCCGCTTCGGCGATCGGGCGCCAGAAACGGTGAGAATGCGAACTCCAGATTTCGTAATAAAAGAGAGGGGGTCTGGACTCTCCAAGACAAGCCATTTCAGACCTCCCCCGTGGGAGAACCCTCCAAAACATCGTCCCCAGACCCCCCAGGCCCTCCAAGATAGCCCGGAAGAGACCCCCCCCGAAATGAGACCCCCCGCCCTTTATTACGAAATCTGGAGAACTGGATTCACCAATTGTTGTTGATCACGGATGTTTGTGCCTCCTCGGGCCCTTTCTTGGGGTCCTCTTGGGGCCCTCTTGCTCTCTATCGGGGGCCTCGTGGGCCGTGCCAGGGCGTCTTGGGGCCCGCTTGGGCTGTATTGGGAAATTCCAGCAAGAGTTTAAGCTTCGACGAGCCAAGCATGACGAGCCAGAGGGGGCGGATCGAAGACGCTTACGGCGAAGCGAACCACCGCCGCCCCCTTCTTTTGGAAGCTCTGGTGCTGCGGCCAAGCGATGGGCCAAAGCCTGGCAAAGCTATTGGACTATGTGTTCCCCCAGTCGTCGTGGAAGCCCTTGGTGGGAATCGCGGGAGGAAGAGGATGGATGAGAAGGAGGAGGAGGAGGAGGAGGAGGAGGAGGAGGAAGAGAGGGAAAGGCATAGAGGAGGTGAGGGAGGAAAGGAAGGACGACTTGACCCGACTGACGCCTTCGGGTCCTCTTGGATTCCTTTTGGGGCGTCTTCGGAGCTTTTTGAGCCGTCTTGAGGCGATCTTGGGCAGCCTTGGAGACCTCTGATGCCGTCTTGGGCCATCTTGGAGCAACATGAGATCCGCTCGGGGCCATCTCAGCCGTCCTGGAGGCAACTTGGAGGCGGCCATCTTGGGCGGGATTGCCAGCGGAATGTACCGTTTACGCGGCCTTCCGGGTGGTCGGCTGGATGCGCCGAGACCACACTGTCAGCGCATAGGATGGGCCAAAGATCTTGATGGCACGCCAGGTTGGCACACCGAACATGCGGCAAGCCAAAGTTGGTGGCGGATCCAAGACACCTACGGCGAACCACCGCTGCCCTCTGCTTTTTAGAAACGCCAGTGCGGCCGACCGTTGGGCCGAAGTCCTACCCAGCTATTGGACTATTTGTTCCCAGAGCCGTTGCGCAAGCCGTTGGGGGAGCACTCGCGGGAGGCAGAGAGAGAGAGAGAGGAAGAGGAAGAGGAGGAGGAGGAGGAGGAGGAGGAGGAGGAGGAGGAGGAGGAAGATGATGAGGAAAACATGGAGTAGGAGGAGGAGGGAACTGGAGGCCTCTCGGAGGCCTCCTGAGGGTTTCCTGGTCGCGTAATGCCGACCGTCTCGCGCGCCGCGCTGGCTGGGCGGGCCCAGGTGTTCTGCTGCTTCTCCCATGTGTGCACGGCTTTGCCTGTGCCCGTGCGTCGCCAGTCTTCAGATGCTTTGCCCTTGTCCACAGGTTCCCAAGATTGTTTCCCTCCTTCGCCTCACTGCCCCCCTCTCTCTATATTCCCCCTTCTTTGTCTCCGTCTTCCCCCCATCTTCATCTTCCGCCGAATTGCCGCTTCTCCGACTAAGTATTTGGGCGTTGTTCGTCTCCAGCCTGGAATGCGTGGGCCCACGTGCTGCGGGGACTGTCCCGCGCTCGTCAGCATCACATCCCCGCCCCCCGCCCCCTCTTGATCGCCGTCCTCTGCAAACCCGCACCCTTCCTTCCGCGGCCCCCAGGGAAGCGGTGTAGACAGATCTTTGGTGGTCCACGATGTGAACAGAACACGGCATCGGAGATCTGGATTCGTCGTCTGGCGCTGGCGTCAGGAACGGCGTCGTTGTCGGCGTCTTCGTCTTCGTCGTCGTCGTCGTCGCTGTCGTCGTCGTCGTGGTCGTCGTCGTCGTCGTCCCCCTTTCCTCTGCAAATCCGCGCCCGCTTCCCCGCGCGCAAGTCCTCTGCTCATCTCTCCCTGGCCCCCGCTCCACGGTCCGGCCGAGCCCGCCAACGGTGGCGACGCACGGCCTGCAGCAGCACCCGCGCCGCGGGCGAACAGCAACAAGAATCGTTCGCCCGCGGCGCGGCGCGGTTTCCTCCTCCCCGCTATTTCCCCCCCCCAAGACCCCCTCGCGCCGTGAAAATATACCAGCGGAAGATGTTTCCAGATTTTCGGCCTGCGGGGTCCTTCCCCTGGCCTCGGGGCCGTGGATGGAAGAACCTGGCTTGGGACAAGGGTCCTTTAGACGTAAGAGTGACCTTTCGCCGGAATGGCCTTTGGTGTGGGTCCACTGGGGTCTCCCGATCGCCGAACGCGAGGCGGCAGTGGCGTCTTGCGCGCTTGTGCGTGGTCCCCCCGCGGCCCCCCAAAAGCCGCGCACCAAAGGACACTCTCGCCCAGGGTCACTCTTGCGTGCAGCCGAAAACGTAATGATTTCCACACAATATTGAAACAGTTGGGACATCGGATGTCTGGGTCCTCATCCCCTCTACTCCCCCCCTCCACCCCGCCGCTCGCTCGTTCGCTTCGTTCCCGTGCCGGTTCATGGCATCAGTCAGGGTGGTCTCAGCAGCGGCTGGGGAAAATTCGCTCCGCATCGGCAAAATCGAGATGCGTGTGTGTGTATGTGTGTGTGTGTGTATGTGTGTGTGTTTGTGCTTGCGTGTGTGTGTGTGTGCGTGTGTGTGTGAGAGAGAGAAAGAGGTGTGTGAGAGAGGTGTGTGTGTGTTTGCGTGCGCGCGCGTGTGTGGGCATGTGCGTGCGTGCGTGCCTGTGTGCGTGCATGTGTGTGTATGTCTAGGTATGTGTGTGCGTGCGTTCGTGCCTGTGTGTGTTCGTGCGTGCGTGCGTGCGTGAGTGCGTGTGTGTGTGTGTGTGTGTGTTCGTGCGTGCGTGCGTGCGTGCGTGGGTGGGTGTGGGTATGTGTGTGTTAGTGTGTGTTGGATCCACGTCCCTGGCCTCTGAAGGGGGCCGGCCGCGAGCGTTTCCCGCTTCAACCTTTGCGACCCTCTGCGCCTCGATGCTGCGCGCGAGGCCGCGACGCCCGAAAAGGTGGTGCGTGTGTTGCCGGCGTGGGCGTGGGTGTGAGTGTGTCGCTCTCTCTTTCTCTCTCTTTCTCTCCTCTCTCTCTCTCTCTCTTTCTTTTCTCTCTCTCTCTCTCTTCTCTCTCTCTCTCTCTTTGTTTTCTTTCTCTCTCTCTCTCTCTCTCTCTCCCTCTCTGAGGAGGAGCAGCATGGGGTGGAGGCAGAGGAGGGGGAGGAGTAGGCGTAGGACGACGCGGCAGGGGTGCCTTCCGAGGGCCCTCCCCCCAGGAAGGCCCGCCGTGGAGGCGGGCGGGGAGGAGGAGGAGGAGAGGCGGTGCAGCAGGGCGTGAAGGCACGAGGAGGGGGAGGAGCAGGAGCAGGACGACAACGCCCGACGTCCGCGGACATGGTTGCCTTTCAGTCCGTGGGTTCTCTTTCTCCTCTCTCCCTCTCTCCCCCTCTCTCCCCCTCTCTCCCCCTCTCTCCCCCTTTTCTCTTCTCTCCCCCTCTCTCCCCCTTTCTCCTCTCTCCCCCTCTCTCCCCCTCTCTCGCCCTCTCTCGTTCTCTACATACACACTCACAAATCTGTCGTTATGTCTAGCGCGTGGGGTCGGCGCCAAGGCCGCCCAGCGCGACGCGGCGGACCGCGCCCTCGCATACTTCGTGGGCGCGTGGGGCCAGGCGCTGCAGCGGCAGGCGCTGGGGCCAGAGGCGCCCTGGCGTTCCTGGCCGGGTAGGGCCAGGGGAGGCGAGGCTCGGGGGCGCTAAGAGGGAGGAATGATTGAACGGGGGGGGGACCATGGCCAGGGCCATGACATCATGCCATCTCCGAGGCATCACGGTGCTTTTTATGTTTGTTCTTATGTACGTGTTGGTGTTATCAATCGTATTAGCCGTATGCGTCTGCTTCTTCTTCTCATTCGTATTTTGAATGTTATTATTTGTCTCACGAGTATGACATCATTCGCTTGCGTTTATGACTTAGTAGTGTGTGATGTTATGTATTGTTTAGTGTGTTCTATGCTTGTCATCATGTTAATACTAGTCGTAGTAGTAGTAGTAGTAGTAGTAGTAGTAGTAGTAGTAGTAGTAGTAGTAGTAGTAGTAGTAGTAGTAGTAGTAGTAGTCGTAGTAGTAGTAGTAGTAGTAGTAGTAGTAGTAGTAGTAGTAGTAGTAGTAGTAGTAGTAGTAGTAGTAGTAGTATAGTAGTAGTAGTAGTAGTAGTAGTAGTAGTAGTAGTAGTAGTAGTAGTAGTAGTAGTAGTAGTAGTAGTAGTAGTAGTAGTAGTAGTAGTAGTAGTAGTAGTAGTAGTAGTAGTAGTAGTAGTAGTAAGTCGTAGTAGTAGTAGTAGTAGTAGTAGTAGTAGTAGTAGTAGTAGTAGTAGTAGTAGTAGTAGTAGTAGTAGTAGTAGTAGCAGTAGCAGTAGCAGTCGCAGTAGCAGTAGTAGTAGTAGCCGTTGTAGTAGTAGAAGCCGTAGTAGTAGCCGTAGTAGTAGTAGTAGTAGTAGTAGTAGTAGTAGTAGTAGTAGTAGTAGTAGTAGTAGTAGTAGTAGTAGTAGCAGGAGTAGTAGTAGTAGTAATAGTCTTCCCAACATATTGATCAGTAGTATACTTAATAGTGTTCGTATGATTTCAACGCGTCCCCTAATCATTAGTATACTTAATAGCGTTTGTATTATTTCAACGCGTCCCCTAGTCTCCCCCCTCGTCGACGCACGTCCATGCTGGTGCAGAGGAGGCTAAGGCTACGTTCTGGCGGTCAAGGTCCAGTTGTTCCACCGATTAGCTTCTGGAACTGCCCATGTTGCGGCCAAAAGCTGATATCGCAAACAAGATCAGTTAGAGAGTCGCGAGCAAGGCCAGAAGCAAGTCGCACGCCACCGCCGCATCGCCCGCCCTGTTCCGCCCACCCCGTGGTGATGACGATGCCGATGTTCACGACTCTATGGTTTTGATGGTGCTGGTGACGTGTGCGAGCTCTGCGAGGCCTGCTCGTGTTGTTGCCTACTGGCGGCAGCCCGCACAGGGCGCGCCTCTGCCCACGTCCTGTCCTTCGCCCCAACCCCGTCTCGGACGGCAGGGGAAACAGGCCTCTGATGGCCGCTCCCGGCCGCCTTCGCGGGCCCGCGCGGGCAGGGTTACGACGCTGAGAGGAGGAGGAGGAGGAGGAGGAGGAGGAGGAGGAGGAGGAGGAGGAGGAGGAGGAGGAGGAGGAGGACAAAGCTTGGTGGAGGAGGAGGAGGGGGAGGAGGAGGAGGAGGAGGAGGAGGAGGAGTAGGAGGGGCACGAGGAGCTGCCCCGAGAAACAGCCAGGCCTGTCTCCGATCCAGATGGCCCTCTCGGATCTGCCCCGCAGGGGAGTCTGGTTCACGATCCAGCTTCCGGCGTCCCCGTCCGTCCAGTGCGCCTCCCTGGCCTGCCCTCCTCCCGGCCTCCTTTTCCTCCTACTTCTCCCCCTCCCAGCCTCCTTCTCCTCCTCCAAGCCTCCTTCTCCTCCTCCTCCTCCTCCTCCTCCTCCTCCTCTCCGCTCCTCCTCCAAGCCTCCAAGCCTCCAAGCTCCAAGCCTCTCCTCCCTCCTCCAATCCTCCTCCTCGTCCTCCTCCCGCTCTCCTCCGGCAGGCAAGCCTCCTCCTCCTCCTCCTCCTCTCCTCCTCCTCCTCATCTCCTCCTCTCCTCCTCCCCTCCTCCCAGCCGCCTCCTCCTCCTCCTCCTCCTCCTCCTCCTCCTCCTCCTCCTCCCCTCCGCCTCCTCTCCTCCTCCTCTTTCTCCTCCTCCTCCTCCTCGTCCTCCTCCTCCTCCTCCTCCGCCTCCTCCTCCTCCTCATCCTCCGCCTCCTCATCCTCCTCCCAGCCTCCTCCTCCGCCGCCTTCCGCCCTCCGCTCCGACGCCCAAGGCCGACAAGGCCCGCCCCCCTGCCTCCCCGGCGGGCGAGCGGCGGGACCGTGCACCTCTCCGCGCGGCCGCGGGGGGCGAGCGGCGGGCCCTGGAGGAGCACTGCGCCTACGAGGGCGGCCCGTGCGGCGGCGAGGGGGCTGGGAGGAGGAAGAGGTGGGAAGAGGGAGGAGGAGGAGGAGGAGGAGGAGGAGGAGGAGGAGGAGGAGGAGGGAGAGGAAGGACGAGGACAGGGAGGCGAAGGAGAGGAGGAGGATTAGGAGGAGGAGGAGGAGGAGGAGGAGGAGGAGGAGGAGGAGGAGGACCAGTGTAAACCCAAGAGTCATCAACGATGTTGGAATTAACCCTCCCCCAAGCTCCCTCTTCGTAGGCCCCTACAACGGGTCATTTCCATTGAGGGAACTGCCTCGTTGGAAGACAACCGTTTGAAGACCGTGAAGCATGCCAAAACATTTTTCTCAGGATTTCCACGCCGTGGTTCAACCTGACTGCTGCGTCCTGACGATCTGGAATCGTACAAGAACGCCAATTGTGGGACTTCAACACCGCGAATCAACCTAACTAGTGTTCCCGCATAATCCTGAATCCTTCCAAACGCAATTTCTGGTAAGTTGATCATGGGAATCCGTGAAACTCTTCCAAAAGGTTAGAACGAATTCGCGCGGCGCTAAGTCGAGAGCCACCTTTTGAAACGGAACCGCCCTCAATCCGTGAAACTCTTGCCCATCTTGAAAAGGGAATGTGTGCGGCGCTAGGGCGAGAGCCACAGTTTGAAAACCACCCGCCCTCATGTGTGCGCGGCGCGCAGGCGAGAGCCACATGTTGAAAACCGCCCGCCCTAAATCCGTGAAGCTCTTGCAAGTCTTGAAATCGCATGTGCGCGCTCAGGCGAGAGCCACATGTTGAACATCACCCGCCCTCAAGCCGTGAAGCTCTCGCAAATGTTTAATACGAATGTGCGCGGCCCTCAGGCGAAAGCCACGCGAAACGCCCGGCCCGCCCTAAGACATTGCTTCGGGGTGCGACAGGGAGATTTATTTATAAGGAAGGAGGAGGAGGAGGAGGAAGCTTGGAGGAGGAGAAGACGGAGGAGGAGGAGGAGGAGGAGGAGGAGGAGGCTGGGAGGCGGGAGGCGGGAGGCGGTAGGCGGTAGGTGGGAGGCGGGAGGCGGGAGGCGGGAGGCGCAAGGAGGGCTTTTTTTGACTGCACTTGGCTCGTTGCAAGTAGCTTGAGCTGGGTGGCCGAGGTCGGCCAGGCGGCAGACAGAGCCCGCCTAGCGGGCACAGCAAAGGTTCTCCGCTCCTGGTCCGTCCGCAGGCAAAAGCGATTCTTCGCCATTGGACCTGCATGATGGGCGGGGGAGGTATTGGCACCGAAGGGGAGGGAGGGGGAATAATATGAAGAGAGGGGATCGGTGCCGTGCGAGAAACACTGAGCGCGCCATCTAGGCGTTGCCCTATGCGGGCAGCGCTGCACGACCGAAGAGCAGCAAAGCTAGCCTCAGGGACGGCCACCTGGGAGCATGGCTTAACCATGGAAATGAGCGGGATGAGTAGGAAGAGGGCCAAAATGGCTTTGCCGCGCTGTAGGGCGGCCGTGGGGGAGCGGACCAGGAGGGAGAGGCTGGCGTTGCCGCCAAGAGATTAGGAAACCCCATCGGTAACGTATGTGACCGGAAAAGGGGGCAGGTGAGAGAGCGCCTGTGCTGTGCTGGACGTCTTGGAGTAAACGAGGGAAGAGGGGAGGGATGAACATAAGGGAGGGATAGGGATTATCTTGTCCAGCCAAGCAGCGCTAGGGCGCGGTAGCTGTCAGTAGAGGTACGCCCCTCTGACGGCCAGCATTAGCCGAGAGTTGCTCGGCAGGTGGGATGTACTGAGGCGGCATCTTTACTTGCCGCAATAGCCATGAGACTAGGAAGCCCCATCGGTTACGCACGTGACCGGAAAAGGGGCAGGTGAGAGAGCGCCTGTGCTGTGCTTGGCGTCTAGGTGTAAACGTGGTGAGAGGGGAGGGAAGAATATATGGGAGGGAGAGGGATTATCTTGCCAAGCCAAGCAACACTAGGGCGCGGTAGCTGTCCGTAGAGGTACGCACCTCTGATGGGCAGCATTAGCTGAGAGTTACTCGGCGGGTGGGATGTGCTGCGGTGGCAGCTTTGCTTGCCGCAGTATCGACTCAGCCGTGGCGAGTCTGCGAATTGCGCTGTGAGCATTGCTCCGACCGCTCTTCTGGTAGCGTGGCTGCTCAAAAGTGTCGCTTTGGCCTGGCCGCAATGCTGCGGCAAGAATGAGTGAAACTAGAGACTGGTGCTGGCTACAGCTCTTGCAGCTGGCCCGCCCTCTGGATGGGGCTGAAGAGAAGAGCTGAAGGGCCCGCTGCGACGAGACTATAGGACAGTTCGGCCGCCCTTAGATTGGAGCAGCATAGCTCCTCAGCTGGTGAATTACGGTACGTGTGGCTGGCTAGGGCTATCTAGGTGGTGGGCTGCCGATATAAGCAGAGACTAGGGTATTAGGCTGGCCCATCACCTATGAAGACTCAGCCGTGGCGAGTCTGCGAATTGAGCTGTGAGCATTAGCTGTCCGCTCTTCTGGTAGCGGGGCTAGCTAAAAGTGTCGCGTTGGCTGCACTAGTGCGGCAGAGAGGTGTGAAGCTGGAGACTGGTGCTGGCTACGACTCTTGCAGCGGGCCCTTGGAATGGGGCTGAATGAAACAACTGAAGGGCCCGCTGCGACGGGATTGCAGGACGGCTCAGCCGACCTTAAATTGGAGCAGCACGGCTCTCCAGCTGTAAATATTCGGCTCGTGTGGCTGGCTAGGGCTGTCTAGGTGGTGGGCTGCCGAGGTGAACAGAGACTAGAGTATTAGGCTAGTCCACCACCTATTGGTTGCGCCGAGGTCGCCCGCGTCGACCTGGGATGGCGCCGGCTGAGAGGCGGCACGCTCTAGGGCTCGCTCATGCACCGCGCGGCTGCCGTACGGCCGCCGCCGCCGCCGTTCGCGCCCTGGCCTCCTGCGCTGCGGCCTGCTGCTGGCTGAAGTGGTCCAGCATCATGGTCTCGACCTCTGAGATGGTCGCCAGGCCTGGAGCCTCTATCCATTCCCAGTCCCAAGTTTCGACGACCTGGCCGTCGATGACGTCGAGCGACTTGAGCTTCCAGACGAACGGGTAGAGCATGCCGTTAGGCATCTTCCACTCGCCAGGGTACGTAGCTGGCCACCACTTTTTGAACTCCTTGGTGGCGGCAGTGCACTGGGAGCCCTGCCACGCCGAGCCCGACCGCGTGTCGCCTGGTAGGCCGAAGAGCTCCAGCGCGTTGGGCGGCGCCTTGCCTGGCTCGGCCGCGGCCCCCTGCGGGGGCGTGGTCCCCTCTGTCGCCGCCGAAGCGCGCCCGCCCGCAGGAACCACGGCTGCGTTGCGCGCGCTGAGAGGAGGGGGAGTGCGGAAGGCGCGAAAAGAAATAGCCCATAAGCCAACGGCCAGATATGAGTGAATCCTAACTGGCTTATGCGTGCGCCTGGGTGAGGAGGACCCTCCTGATGGGCCGACTGATGCATGCTTGGCCCGGCGCTGGGTCGATAGGGATGAGGATGGTTCCGCTGCGCATGTTGACCCGCAGCGAAAGGCCAGCGCGAAAAGGTATGCCCGTGCCGAATAAAATGGACCGTGCATCGGTCTCCTGAAGAATGGGGAGGTGAAAAAAGCGTGGCCTCTCCACTGAAGATGGCAGCCGGGTCTCCTGCCCGTGGAATTGCTCCATTAGGAGTCCTACATTGATGGGCAGTGGAGACCAGAGCGGAATGTGACCTGCCGTGATCACTACCAGCCACTGTACGACTGTAGGCTGCGGTGGCACGGCCTCAGTGGGTGCGCAGCGGACGTCGCCGTGCTCGAACTGCGGCAGGTGCTGCGCATCTGGGGTCGGCATGGCCTGAGGGGCTATGGTGCAGGGAGGCGGAGGATTCGAGAGAGGTAGGACAACGGAAGGCAAAATGGCCGCACCAGGATCATGGCCTGGAAGTCAATTAGGATGGGGCTGCCAGCCGCTGCATCCTCCAAAAGACGCTGAGGGATGAGAGCAGGCTGTTCCCAGGCCCCCGTGTGGAGGAAGTCCAGAAACATCTGGTCGGGCACGTAGACAGTGACTAAACTTATAGCGGGTGAGAAACGGGCAGCATAGGGGCCTTCACCCGCTGCGCGATGAGGAGAAATGTGGAGTAAGTTGGGAGAGTTGGCCTCGCACCAACGCCCATACCACCGCTCGACTGTGTGATTAGCGACATCGGGCAAGTCCATGTGGAGCTCGGGGCCTACGGTAGCGCGGGCGTGTGGCAGAGCAGGCGGCCCGCTCTCGAGCTGCCATGTAGCTTGCCATTGGGGTACCGAGGCAGGCTGGTACACAGCGGTAGGAGACAGTAAAAGAGCGTGGCGTCTCGAGCCGCCGCTGAGAAAGCGGTATGCCTGCTGGTGGGCCAGGAGAAGCCGTTCCGCCAGGTACTCCCAAAAGGGCCATGCGCTGCGAAAGTCTGGGGGCAGCCGCTCCATAATGCGGAGCAAATCTAGGTGCCTCCCCGGGGCCGCTTCAGCAGCGGGCATGTCCTCGTCTGCGTCGGCGTTGCCCAAGGTGCTGAGCTCGCGCATCATGGCCTGTGGGGGGAGAAGCGAAGGAAAGGAAGCTAAGAGAGGTAAGGAGGGAAGAGGTAGGCCTGGGCTGAATTACAGCTGCATGGCGTAAGTTTAACGCCTGGCGGCATCGCCTCCTTCATGAGGCTTGCGCGGCCGCCTGGGCGAGAGGCGCTGACCGCAATGCGAGAGGCTTTCGCCTTCTCTTAACTGAAGTTTGAGGCGCTCCCTGTGTATCCTGTCGATACGGAGCTGGTCCTGCCTATGCTCCTCTTTGAGCTGGGCAATCCTATTCTCGTGCGCCTTGAGGACTGTACTGCGCTGCTCGTCCGATGCTGCGTCTGGCGCTTCGGCAGGCAAGTGCGAGCGCGGAGCCGCATGGGCAGCACGGTGAGACTTGCGGGCCTTATGGTGCCTTGGAGGAGGAGAGGCTGGAGGCGAGGCCGTGCCGCGGAATGCCTGCGGGCTGCTTTGAGCCTCGGCTGGTCCGCGGCGCTGTGGCGCCG